CATTGTCTTGCAGATTTTAGTGGTTTGCACAATTGTTTAAATTTAATTGATTAAACAATTAACTGACAGAAAGGCAGGTAATTAGTAAAAAATATTTCAGTGACTAAGACAGTTAATATATAAGTTCAGCCAATATTCTTTGTATGGTCAATTATCTCTCCAGCTTTTGCTGTTTCTATTTTTAAAATGATACAAATACACATGGCCCATCGTGACTTCTGCACAGCTACGTCACGACTGAGGCTGATCCTAAAAAGCTAAGCAGGCTTGGATTTGATTAGACAAGCTATACAAAGCTCTGAAAGAGCTTCAGTGTGATGAAACTTCACTCAAATAGCCCCATATAAGAAGAGGTTCAAATCAAAAGGAGAAGCTTGCTTGAAGCAACTAACTGAATCAAGTGGCTTCAAAACAGTTCTTAGCCTTCGTAGCTTTGCAGATTCAAAGACATTTCTGCTGCTTTTAGGGATATTACAGATTCAATTCATGTATGGAGAAGGGTGGAATGGGGGATATTAATATGATTAGCCAAACTTTAATCCTCATTTAACTCCCTGCTTATCACAGCTCCTCTGGGATGCCAGGGGTTATGTTATTTTGTGTTTCACTCCCTGTTTCAGTTATAAAATTCAATTTACACATCTGACTTGGCCCTGTCAACGCAACTGGAAGTTCAGACTGGGCTGGTTCAAATTGCTTGAAATAATCACCTGTTCTCACATACAGGCCTCAAGACAACATTTTTGGTGCTCCAAAAGTAAAGATAAGGTAGCTAGACTACAATTTCCTCTTTCTCTGGGCCAGCCATCTTCTTTGCTGCTTGCCTATACCCTGGATCTTACTGTGCCTATCTGCTTCTGCTTTCTCTGCTAAATAATGACATATAAACTATTGGCAGCAAGCCCCAACCCAGAGGTGGTATTCAGCCAATTCTGACAGGTTCTGGAGAACCTGTAGCAGAAATTTTGAGTAGTTCGGAGAACCAGGAAATAGGTTGGTCCCACCCCTGCTGCCTCCCAGCTGATCTTCTTTTGTTGCCCCGAACAGGAGAATGGAGCTGGAAAGCAGGTTAGTGGGATAGGGAAGGAATGGGGATTTTGCAGTATCCTTCCCCTGCCACGCCCAC